CTCTCTCTCTCTCTCTCTCTCTCTCTCTCACACACACACTCTCAATCTCTCACTCACTCTCTCTCTCTCTCTCTCTCTCTCTCTCGCTCTCTCTCACACACACACTCTCTCGCTCTCTCTCTCTCTCTCTCTCACTCACACACACACACACACACAATCAAAATAACAGACTCAATCCCCCTGAGATATCTGGGAATGATCCAACAACAGTCTTGATTTCTCATCCTGGACAATATCAGACCTGTTGATTCATAGTTGCATCTCATGAAATCCGAGATCTTTTCATAGACACACAGGGGCTTGAGATACTATCAGTAACCTGGAAGCCATTTTTATTTCTATTGGAGGATCTGTAATGCTGCCGGATTCAGCACAGATACTATCAGACAGTTTCTGTGACCGGAATGGAGCAGGGCTGTGCACCTTGCGTGCAGAACAGTAATTCAGATTTAAAGAAGTAGAATTAAAATAGAAAGAAATTCATAGGACTAAATACTTCTTTAAATATATATTTTTAAATAAATAACAATAAAAAAAATGTTGTTTGACACAAATGATATTAATATGAATAATAATTGTTTGAAATACAACGTATAGAAATGTAAACACACACACACACATTTATAATTTATTCGATTACTTGAATCCTAATATATATTTAACAAAATACTTAAAATATTGATTAATCGCATCCAAAATAAAAGTTTTTGTTTACATAATATACGAGTGTGTACTCTGTATATTTATTATGTATATATAAATACAAACACATGCATGTATATATGTAAAAAATTTTTTTTATATAATACGTTTATTTATATATATAATATAAATGTATATACACGTAAATAATTTCTAAATATATACTGTTTGTGTGTTTATATATACAGTACATAATAAATAAACACAGTACACATACTTATTTTGGATGCGATTAATCATTTGACAGCACTAATTTTAAAATACTTTAATTGCTGCATTAATCAAAAGTGACAATTAAACGTTTAAAGATTTTTATTCCAAATAAATGCTGTTCTTTTGAACTCTTTTGAACTTTTCTATTCATCAAAGAATCCTGAAAAAAAGAGATCTGTTTGCAACATATTGATACTAATCAGAAAAGTTTCTTAAGCAGCAAATCAGCATATTAGAATGATTTCTGAAGATCATGTGACACTGAAGACTGGAGTAATGATGCTGGAAATCACAGGAATAAATTACATTTTAACATATATTCACATAGAAAATAGTTATTATAAATTGTAATAATATTTCAGAATATTACTGCTTTTACTGTATTTATCATCAAATACATGCAACCTTGGTTAGCACAAAAACATAAAATAGACTGGACAGTAATGTAAATATATATTTACACACTTTGGATAGCTATATAAAATACATATACATTGTGAATTTTGCCCTGATTAGTAGTTATTTTGACAGCCACTGTAAAGCTGATTTATAGGTTTTAGTCACTGTGTGCTCGGTAGGACATGCTCATTAATGTGCTTTGTTGATAAAATGTCAGTGTGTGAAAAAGCCTGTGCTATTTTTATTCATGCCTCTCCTCCTCTGCATGTCTCGCAGGATGACAGGGACAAGCTTGCCAAACCACCAGTACGTAATTCATTTTTCAAATCGTTTTTTTCCATGCTTATGATTTGAACAAACTCTGCAGTGTCTTTGCTTTGGACTTGCATTGTGTGGAAACACCTAAACACGCGTTTGGTTTTCTGTTCAATAGGAATCACTTGTAACGACCGTACAAGAAAGCACAAGGTAAGTTCAAGTGAACGACCAAATGCTATGCATAAGAATAACCCAACCAAACAACACACACAAAGCTAAATGTTTTGAGACATTTTTAAGAAATGTGGATGTTGACACACACACACACACAATCAAAATAACAGACTCAATCCCCCTGAGATATCTGGGAATGATCCAACAACAGTCTTGATTTCTCATCCTGGACAATATCAGACCTGTTGATTCATAGTTGCATCTCATGAAATCCGAGATCTTTTCATAGACACACAGGGGCTTGAGATACTATCAGTAACCTGGAAGCCATTTTTATTTCTATTGGAGGATCTGTAATGCTGCCGGATTCAGCACAGATACTATCAGACAGTTTCTGTGACCGGAATGGAGCAGGGCTGTGCACCTTGCGTGCAGAACAGTAATTCAGATTTAAAGAAGTAGAATTAAAATAGAAAGAAATTCATAGGACTAAATACTTCTTTAAATATATATTTTTAAATAAATAACAATAAAAAAAATGTTGTTTGACACAAATGATATTAATATGAATAATAATTGTTTGAAATACAACGTATAGAAATGTAAACACACACACACACATTTATAATTTATTCGATTACTTGAATCCTAATATATATTTAACAAAATACTTAAAATATTGATTAATCGCATCCAAAATAAAAGTTTTTGTTTACATAATATACGAGTGTGTACTCTGTATATTTATTATGTATATATAAATACAAACACATGCATGTATATATGTAAAAAAAATTGTTTATATAATACGTTTATTTATATATATAATATAAATGTATATACACGTAAATAATTTCTAAATATATACTGTTTGTGTGTTTATATATACAGTACATAATAAATAAACACAGTACACATACTTATTTTGGATGCGATTAATCATTTGACAGCACTAATTTTAAAATACTTTAATTGCTGCATTAATCAAAAGTGACAATTAAACGTTTAAAGATTTTTATTCCAAATAAATGCTGTTCTTTTGAACTCTTTTGAACTTTTCTATTCATCAAAGAATCCTGAAAAAAAGAGATCTGTTTGCAACATATTGATACTAATCAGAAAAGTTTCTTAAGCAGCAAATCAGCATATTAGAATGATTTCTGAAGATCATGTGACACTGAAGACTGCAGTAATGATGCTGGAAATCACAGGAATAAATTACATTTTAACATATATTCACATAGAAAATAGTTATTAGTGTTTATTGTCTCATATCCCTTGAGATTTAAATACTGATATATGCAGATGTTTTTATGATATATCAAAGGATATTTTAGATCTAGCATTATAAATACGCATACTAAAGATGAAGTTTTCATTGTCTAATTGTTTTCTGTTGTGTAATACTGTGTATACCATTTATTCAGTTGAAATGTCCTGAATATGATCACATACATAAAGACAACATTTTGTTCCTCATAGAAATAATTTAGTCTCACTTCAGATATTGTTAATCTTCATGTCATTGCAAGTTGATTGTACTTGGTCCAGAGAGAAATGATACAAACGTACAAATTCTTAACAAGAGAATGAATAAAATGCCAGAATGCAAAAAAATCCATGCTTATGATTTGAACAAACTCTGCAGTGTCTTTGTTTTGGACTTGCATTGTGTGGAAACACCTAAACACGCGTTTGGATTTCTGTTCAATAGGAATCACTTGTAACGACCGTACAAGAAAGCACAAGGTAAGTTCAAGTGAACGACCAAATGCTATGCATAAGAATAACCCAACCAAACAACACACACAAAGCTAAATATTTTGAGACATTTTTAAGAAATGTGGATGTTGTAACTTGTAACACACTTTGAGTGCAAGTTTGTTTTCTCTTAATTTCACTTGAAACTTTCCATTGTAGTACAGAAATAGCAAGATTCCAATGAATAATTCAAGTTAATTACCAAGTGCTTTGTTCCAAACCTTCCACTGGGTCTCTTGTTGCAGCTGGTGGTCAAACTGGTTGATACCTGCTGTCGCCGCAGTAATCGTCACGTTGATGTACCGTATATACACGGCAGAGGAGGCATGATGGGATGTTTCTCTCGCTCTGCCTACAACTACAGTACCCATAATCCATTTCAGGTTTTCCCATTACCATAAAGATTCTACTAATGAAGGCAACTTTTGTGTTAGTTTCAGTGTTTATTGTCTCATATCCCTTGAGATTTAAATACTGATATATGCAGATGTTTTTATGATATATCAAAGGATATTTTAGATCTAGCATTATAAATATGCATACTAAAGATGAAGTTTTCATTGTCTAATTGTTTTCTGTTGTGTAATACTGTGTATACCATTTATTCAGTTGAAATGTCCTGAATATGATCACATACATAAAGACAACATTTTGTTCCTCATTTAGTCTCACTTCAGATATTGTTAATCTTCATGTCATTGCAAGTTGATTGTACTTGGTCCAGAGAGAAATGATACAAACGTACAAATTCTTAACAAGAGAATGAATAAAATGCCAGAATGCAAAAAAATCTGGTAATTATTTAGTAATAAATATGCCAATTCTGACGGATTCACTGGATATTCTGCGAAATTATTTATTGCTAGCAGAGTGAATCTGATGATATGCATATTTATCCCCAAAATCAAAAGTTCCAAAAAATTGAAATTAGATTTTGCAGAAACAATAAGTGAAGATTATTTGTAGGGTCATACACTTATTTTGCATGATCATAATGAGAGTGGGAAGGGATTTAGTTTAATTGTCATAAATTATCTTTCTATTTCATATTTTTCTTTTGAATTTGGGGTGAAATATGAACCGGACATGTTCAACATGTGATTGTACACAACCTAACCAAAAATCTCATTATGTGCTTAGACAATCAGCTAGAAGTCACCACATGTTAATATCTGTAGTGAAGAGCAACACGGTTAGAATCGTATTTTTGGCTGTCGGTTACACATTGATGTACCATTTAAATGCATATCAATGTACCACCATAAACGGTGCTTATACATTCCCTTTTTTTTTCTTGAACTAAAATGAATGTAATATACTTGATATAAGATACATGCAGCGTTCCCATAGAAACATCCTTCCAGATGTTTACAGTGTGTGTTCATTGCTGTTTCAGTGCTTCTCCACACTAATGCTAACGGCTGAGAGAAGGACTCGTTGTAACCTGTGCCAATGTTTTATGCCACATTGACTGAATGCAGCAGACATCTCTTTCAGCTTTGTTGTGTCCCAATAAACAAAGAAACTGATTGTGATTTTCGGGAAACTTATTTCAGATGTGTATGTACAGTGGTCCTGCATTTAAAATAAGACGCAATAGGAATGAATGGCATTTTACTATATAACATAAAGATGGAACAAGACCACTTTCCAAGCACAACATTTCATCATTGAAAAAGTTAGATTATAAATGATTAAACATGAGATTATGATGTTTCTAGTTGTGAAACGCACATGGATCGTGTCCATAGTTAATGTAATGAACTACATCTGTGTAAACTCGAGAAGAACTGACTTCATGCATGCATACAGGAATAGTTCACCCAAAAATGAACATTTGCCGAACTGCATGTTTGCAAGAAACAACTCCATCATTAAGGTGTTTTAAAACATCCATAACGACGCATCCTCCAGTGAATAGGTCCATCTCCTGTTGTCTCTCACATACAAATACACCCACACATTTGTTTAGAATGGTTTGGGACTGTTCTCACTTGTAAACGGTGCTTGATCTGTGCATATTTCTCTCAGACCAGATGACTTTTTCACTGGAGGAAGCGGTTTTAAGGATTACGGAGTCATACTTCAGCCAGAAGCAATGGTTTAAAGTTAAAAACATCAGAATTGTGGATTCGTTTCTTACAGACACGCAGCGTTTCGCTTCTCTAGACATTAACTGATGGACTGGAGTGCTGTGGATTATTGTGGTGTTTTTATCAGCTGTTTGGACTCTCATTCTGACGGCACCCATTCACTGCAGAGCATCCATTGCTGAGACACTGATGCAATGCTACATTTCTCCAAATCTGTCAAGCTATCAAGAAACATCATCTATATATACATCATCTATAACAATCTATTTATTGGATGGCCTGAGCATGAGTACATTTTTGAATGAACTTCGCTTTAAGCGCAGATATCTAGTTTGATATTTTGTTGTCCATTGGAGTGACATTCAGAAGTGTGAAATAGTTTTGATCACCATATTTATGTTAGACCTTTGGTAGTCAAGAAATGTTACAACACTGACATCTGCTGGTGAAGTACCTCATTGCAAAAACCTTGTTTCATATTCCTTGTTTGGATCTGATGTGGTAATTGTTGTGTCCAAGTGTTACAGTTAAAACAACTTAGAATATATGCTGATATTAAATATCCTAAGTCCTCATCATCAGGGATGGGCAGTATTTATGATACATGTATTTCAAATTCGTATTTCAAATATAAAACAGGATTTTGTTATTTGTATTGGATGGGGTTGATGGAAATGGCTTCATATTTTGTATCTTTGTAGTTTTAAAATACTGTATAAATACTAAGTCTACATGATGATGACATAAATATGCGGCCTCTGCTTGGTGTCTTCTCAGTAGTTTGCACAGATTTGTTGTTACGACACTATTAATGTGTATGTGTCCTCTATACTTCTATGGCTCTCAATAGATTCAGTGCTCTGAGTTGGGTTAATACTCCTTGACAAGTTCTGTTGCTACTTTCTGATTACGTCCCTGACTACATTTAAAATCAAAACACATCGATCATTTAATAATTGTTGCAATGCTAAAATGTTTGTTTTCATCTTCCAAATAGGCGTCCAATGATTGATAAATAAATATTTGACTGCTGAATATTGCACCCTAATTGAAGTAGCTGTATAGCATTTGCTTGAATGACTGCCTGACACATAATATATTAGTATATTTGATCAACAATCAAATGATTAATTAGTTAGAAACTAGTTGCTATGAATACAGGAGCCTTCAGTTGTCTTCTTCTGGATGCCTTGTTTGTCATTGAGTCAGTGCTGCTGATGCAAGCTAGGCCTTTTGTTACCAGACATCATGTAACTAAATTAGGAGTCATTCGCAAACAGTTAAACATTAAACTGTTGGTTACTTTAAAACTAACCTTCATCTGGGAGTGAATATTTGATCTGTTAACTGGTTGCATATGTCAGATTTATTGCACGACTCGGGCAAAGAAAAGCTGTTGCTGAGTGTAATATGGTGAAGGGATAGATCAAATAGGCCAATTGACGGAAGGTTTGCGAAGAAATATCATGCTCCCTTGTAAAAAATTTTTTTTGTATTTTTAAAACACAAAAATACAGTAGTTTATTTTGATACATGGTGTGGCTCCTGTATTTTGTAGTTTATTTTGATACATTTAAAGTTAAGGTATTTGGTATTTTATTTTAAAATACATTTTGATGTATCTTTGCCCAGCCCTGCTCATCACATCATGTATTGTGCTTTCAGCCTGTAATAACATTTAACCTGCTGTTGGACTATGGCTTTACACAATGCTCAGTCCATGTAAACATGTAAATCAAAAGCCGTATTAGGTCAAGTGCATCTGTGAACTCGTGTTGTAGCTGGACATTAATGGTGTTGTAACAGTGTGTTTGTCTTGTCTGTGATAACAGCGTGTTTTGAAGATCTCACTGACCTGCGGACATTAGATGGGACAGCAGCCAGAGCTGCTGTACTGACACAGAGCCACACATGGACACTTTGTAGCCTGTTTACATTTTTGCTGGTTACATATGCGCAGAAACCTGTTGCCCGTTTCCAGCAACTGTTTAAATGATTCATTTAAAGCACTTTTACCGAATGCCCATTTCTCGTAGGTCTCGACTGAGTGCCGCAGGTAATCACAGTCATGCTGATATTCAGACCAAAGGCATGATTGTGAATGTGATGTAATGTTCTTCAATAAACAAGACGTTAATAGTAACTTATATTACATGTCACAAGCAGCGCACAGCTCTGGAACAGCATGCTCCGAGTGACCATGGAGACAATTTCCACACACACATACACACAACAGCAAGTGAAAGTGTGAGGAATCCCAGAGATGTTATACTGTATATAAAACCTCTTGGAACGCAGAGCAATGAAATCTACAGAAAAGAACGGTTGTATAGGTCAATTAAAAACTTCACATTATAGAATGTACTTTTATTTATTTATTAATTAAATATAAAGTACATTAATGTTATATTGAGGAAAACGTTTTTCATTATTTATAAATATAGTAAATATTTATTTATTTTCACCCAAATATATTTTGGAGTATATTAAAGATGTATGTATTGTATATTTAGGGTATGAGCTAGGATATCCCTGAGATGGTCAGTGGATTAGATTACACATTACACTATACATTTTTTACATTACTGCATGTACTTATTTATTTATTTAGGCAAAAACAGTGTCATGCATGTTTTAAATTATTTATAAATTGTGTTATAAATAAATTAAAGTACTGTAATGCTGTAATTATTATATTAATTATATTATTTTTTTTACTGGGGAACAAATGAGCTCAATCATTTATGGCACAAAACAAACCATTTTTATAGCCAATGATTCCAAAAAACAAAAAGGCTGAATAAGTGTGTGTAGAGGCTCATGTTGATCTCTCTCTCTCTCTCTGACCCACTGAGACCCACTGAATTCACTCCGTTTATCTGTGTAGTACACAGCAGCGGTGGGCGTAACCAGCTTGTAACTGATTACTAGACAAACCACCAATGTAGGACCGCGCATAAATGCGCCTCTGGAGTGATTCTCCTGGAATGACACGTTCTGTCATTGGAGACTACAAACCTGGAATGATGGACATAATGAACGAGGAGCAGATGGAGAACGGACTGGACTCCGATGATGATCTTCAACCCGAGGAGATACCCGAGTACCTGAAAGACAGGAGAAGAGCCAAGTCCTTACCTGCGTATCCAGAGCAGGCGAACCTGTTCCACCAGATCTCCCAGAACTGCAGGAAACGCGTGAAGTTCGCGGACGCGCTCGGCTTGAATCTGGCGAGCGTCAAGCACTTCAGCACCAGCGACGATCCTCAGATTCCAGCCAAAGTCTTCACCAGGCTGAAGAGCTTCCCTCTCCACAAGGACCGGGAGTTCATGGATGACTTGTGCGTGAACATCAAGTCCTCTTTGGCTCTGGACTATCTGGTCCCGGCGTTCAAGACGCCCGTGGACACCGGTGACTTGGAGACGCGGCTGACGCGCTGCCGCATCGCGCTGGAAAGCGTCACGGTCACGCAGTTTGATGTCCGTGGGATCATACGCGCGATGGGTGGGAGAGAGGTCGGGGTCAGGTATACTTTCAACGACTGGCTGTCGTTCGTGGATGCGCAAGCCAACCCCGTGCCCACAGAGCACAAGACGCGCGGAGAGCGCTTCTCCTTCACCATGTACACGCCTCCTTTCTTAGGTCCGAGCGCTGCTGTGCATTTCGCCGTGTACATGAGGGATGATAACTCTGAGTTCTGGGACAACAACGATGGGATGAACTATTCCCTGAAGTAGCCTACCACAGTTCGTCATCCAGCCAGACGCGGTATGAAGTGATGCGCTTTTACGCAAGGATTCATTACGCGTTCCACCGCGCACTGTTACGTGCTCTCAGAGAGGTTATATAGAGTGGACTGACATGTCCTAGTATTGAAGTCTGCTTTAAAGAAATAGTTTAACAAAAATGAAAATTCCTTCATCATTTAGTCACCCTCTTGTTGTTCCAAACCCGTGTGATGGTGTTTCTTTTGTGGAAAGATATTTTGCAGAATGTCCAAGCTGCAGTTTGATCTGAGAGTATTCATCAATGACATTTGTTAACTCATAATTTTGGGAAAAATTCAGACGTTTTTCTTGCAATTCTGACTTTTTTCCTGCCACGGAATGAAAATAAAACAGTTCATTAAAAAAATACTTTTTTATCATAATTGCAAGTTTGTATCTTGTAATTCTACCGTTTTTTCCTCTTAAATACGAGATTAAAAAAAAGCAATTGCAATTACCTTTATTATTATTATTATTATTATTATTACACTGACACTGAAGTTCTTTGGAATGAAGAGGCTTAATCACTGAGAAAATAAAACAGCAATGAATTATGGACAATCAGCAGTTCCATTTGGGACAAATAAATGTAGTTTGATCTGAGAGTATTCATCAATGACATTTGTTAACTCATAATTTTGGGAATTCAGAATTCTGACGTTTTTCTTGCAATTCTGACTTTTTTAATGCCACGGAATAAAAATAAAACAGTTCATTAAAAAATACTTTTTTATCATAATTGCAAGTTTATATCGTGCAATTCTACCTTTTTTTCCTCTTAAATATGAGATAAAAAAAGCAATTGCAATTACCTTTATTATTATTATTATTATTTTTGTCCCATGGCGGAAACAAGCTTCCATAGAATAAAGTGATGGAAGACATTAAAATGAAATGTTTAGAGTTCTCTCAGAGATCGGCTGTGTTGAAGTCTATATGTACACATATGCAGGGTCACATTTATGTTTAACACTTCATTGTTTACAGTATTAAATAAATATCCCATATTACGTACACAGTCTCACGACTGGTTTCTTGTTTGTCAGAGAGAACTTTTCAATGACTAATACATTTATAGATTAAAGACAGGACTTTTATCAAAAGAAAAGTCAATTGAAGGTTTTATTTTTGCTAATTTTATTGATCAAATCCCAATTTTACCAACAAAAAAATTGCACCACTAACACAATACCAGAAGACCAATAATATCTCTGCTCATTTGACATTGTTTCTCATACAATTATTTATTTTATATTTATACATTCTGATGCACATTCATCTTATTGTATTCTAAAAAAAAAAAAAAAAAAAAAAAAAATTTTTTTATTTTTTTTTAAAAAAAAAAAAAAAAAAAAAAAACATTTTTATCAAAATTTAACAAAATATAATAAGTTGCGCTGCCTGAGAAATCACACTCTTCAAAAAAAAAAAAAAAAAAAGGTTTGTTACATAACTAAAATATCCTTCACACTTAAGAAAAATCCCTTGCAAAAATCCCTTCTCGGTTTTGCTTGGCACTTATATTTTTGAGAAATAAAATATTAAAGGACTAATTCACCCTGAGGCCATCCAGGATGTAGATGAGTTTCTTTCTTCATGTGGAACAGATTTGGAGAAATGTAGCATTGCATCACTTGCTCACCAATGGATCCTCTGCAGTGAATGAGTCCAAACAGCTGATAAAAACATCATAACTGTTGTTTTTGACTAATTATCCAAATAATGTATAGTCCTAGAAAGCTATTATTATCAGAGCATGTGAGCAGAGCATAGCGGGGGGCAGATCAGTGAACGAGAATGCAGCCTCATTTTTCCAGCGTTGCCATGTTACAGCACAGTAGCTCTATTGCAAACAGGAACAAGTATCCATAATTTTCTTACCGTAAAAATGGGCTCGGCCATTTGTAAATTCTTTGGGTCTAGCTTCCGGTCTCAATCTTTAGCTGTACAGAACCGCTCCTTTTGCGGCTTGATATTGAAAATGGGAGTGTCTTACCATATTATTTTAATGTATTATCTTAATTATGAACACACTGGTTTGTAGTGCAAACAGTTTTACCGTTAACTGCACGTTGTTATTCTTCTCGTTATATGAGAAGGCTAATGAACCGGAAGTCTCACCCATAGGCTTACTTCCGCGTTGAAGAAAAAGGTGGATACAACAGAGAAATTTCCTGTCTGTGAGTTCTTTGAGCTGTTTTTGTTTTTTCCGGTGAGCATGAGCAGTACATGAGCAGAATGCACATTCATAGAGCGGAATATTGAGCGGAGTGTCACACCACGCAGTGACGACGTCTGAAACCTAAGGCCCCGGTTATTTTTCACGTTTGAAAACGTGAGGTGCACCGCACTACCTTTTTTTTTTGTTTAACTTTTTTTTAATTCAGAAAAACCGGAAGCCAGACCCATAAAATGTACAAATGGCCAGACCCACTCTTACGGGAAGAAAAAGGTGGATAGCGCGAGTGCACTAGAATATTTTTTACTGTTAATAAACTGACAAATTAGTTCAGTCTGACCGGGGCTTAAAACGCGCATAAACAGCACACAAAACACTCACTGCCAATAGAAACACATTTTAAAAAGGTGTCTCTCACTGCAACGTGTCGGGTCTGATCGGGGCCTAACACTGCTGGGCGGTGTGCCATATTTTTTTGGTTCTTATTTTCGTCCGAAAACCAAAAATGCCATTTTTGGCCGATAATTTTCGGTGGCTGAAATTTCAGTGCATCCCTACTTCCTCCAATGAAAAAGTCCATCTCCTGTTGTCCTCTCACATCAAAATCCACCCACATATTTGTTTAGATCTGTTTTGGCTTGTAAATAGTGCTTGATCCATGCCTATTTCTCTCCTGATTCAGACCACACTACTTTTTCACTGGACATAACATTAGTATTGGCCGAGGACTTGTATTTTATTTTTTTTTAAATGTTACAAAATGCCAAGATGGATTAGTTTCTTAAAAATATGAAGCTTTTCACGTCACAAGTCATTAACTGATGGACTGGAGTGGTGTGGATTACTTGTGGATTATTGTGATGTTTTTACGGCACCCATTCACTGCAGAGCATCCATTGCTGAGCAAGTGATAGAATAATACATTTCTCCAAATCTGATGAAGAAACAAACTCATCTACATCTTGGATGGCCTGAGTAAACGATCAGTAACTTTTCATTTTTGGGTAATAAATCATACCTTTCCAACTCCATGTTGAATGAATTGACATGCACTCCATATGTGTATGTATCTCTCTTTCTCTCGATATGCACAAAATATCAGAGCAATTGTGTTAGAAAAGTGCACTAAAGTCCAAAGAATATGTTGTAATCTTTGTTTGTCGATGTTTTCAGCGGTCCTGATAGAGGCCAGCAGCAGGCTAAATCAATACTGAACAGAGAGTCAGGTCAGAGATGCGGCCTTCACGATGAACGAGGACAGTGTGTGTCTGAAAACATCCATCACCAACACTGATCAAACTGTACGATCAGTCAAACTGCTGAGAATGAAACGAGAGCAACACATCTCTGGAGCATGTAACTCAGAAAGGCCAGAGACAATGTTTGATTAGTATCTGATAAAAAGCTGCTTTTGAAAACGTCTAGTCTAATGTTGCTTATGAATATGTAAAAAGTGATGGTCGAACAATGAGAGTTTTTCATTTTCTAATACTGGTACCAGTAATACAGTGAGCAGAGGTGTGTCGTCAGAAATTTAGATCGAGGCAAATGCAGGAAAGATGGCAAATGCCAATAATGCCGATATAAAGAAGAAACAACTAACAACAACAACAGAAGTTCCAAAACTGCTGAAATGAAATTCCTAAAAATTCAGAATAAATATTGGATGCAAAAGGGAACTGCTATTGTGAATCAGTCAAGGGAATCGGTTTCTGCTTTCAGCCGATTGTTGAAAATGTTAAATATTAAATACTAGCACAGAATTTAGTAACGGGGTCCAAAATTTGAAGGAAGGCAACATTTGAAAGAAAGAAAGAAAGAAAGAAAATGTATTTTTATGAGTCACCAACAAAATATTTTTAACACAAATACAAATAATTAACATTATTATTATTTTTATTATTAGTAGTAGTAAGTAGAAAAAAATACATGCTAAAAGTAAATATTTTCCATGTTTACATAAGATGTTAATTAAATATTTTTAACAATAATTGTTAACACATTTACAAAATATAATAATAATAATACCACCCATGGATTTTCTGTTGTGTTTTTCCTAAAAAAATACGGACTTTGTTTTTAAAATAATTTACTTCAGTCTTAATGACAATATAAAAAACAATGATTTAGTTTTGGAAACGTAATTTTGTCTATATTATATGATATTTAATATTTTTCTCTCACGCTGCATAAATGGAAATATATACATACACTATATAAAATACAATAAATTGTTCAATCACAATCAAAAATCTTAAAAATCTTGCCTTTATATTGATCTGTCACAAGTAAAGATATTTATCATGTTGGAACTCATGTATGTATCCTCAGGTCTGCCTAAAATGAAACAGAAGTGGCTGTACAGTAGCTGTGATTTCTCAGCAGAAGCATAATCTTTCTCTAATTATTCCCTCGTGTTAAATTTGTTGACAGAGTGCAAAATGAGTCCAGCCGGAGCGCTGCAGGCCATCCCGTCCACAGCAGCCCCGTCTGCTCCAGAAACACCACAGGCCTCCTCCACACCGGCACATTGTGTTTGACCGATGCTTCGGCTAAACGTAACACACGGCTGCTCTATTAAAGACGTCTCAAAGAGAGTCAAGAAAGCCATCGGTTATGAAGACGCACCAGAACGTGCGGCAAAAGCCAGAGCGAAAGGTACAGGTTGGCGAAGGAGTTGCACATGTTCATTTTTCAAAGTGATGGCTCAGCAAAGAGGAACATTAAGATCCATTTCGGAGCATGGGCAGCCCTCGGTAAATATTCCCTGTGTCCCTGTGACACGGACCATCTGTCAACTTCAGCCACTCTCCTGGTGTCTCCTGTCCATAACCTCTCTTTAAAACAGAGGAGAGCGGGGCACTGATGCAGACGAGCGCAGGATCTCGAGGGAGTGCAGCCAGATGACTGATGGGATGACGAGGGAGCAAGGTGCATTATTATCCAGGTGCCAAACGGAGGAGTCAAGCGGCCAGCTGGTTTTTAGTAAGTCAAGTCAAGTATTTAGTAAGTATAAGGTCAGACTGATGCTAAACTGTTGGTGTAAACAA